TGTCGTTTCCCACGTTTGCAATTGGCCCGCTTTGCATCTCCGACCTCGTGCATATCATGGACGACCAATCGAATCCCGCGATTGGCAATCGTTTCACAGCTCTGACTTGTTTCGTACACGATTCAAGACGCCTGACAACGAAATGGTTTCACAACTACCTCAACATGCGTTGTTTTAAATCTTCCCCGAAAGAAACAAGCTAACGCAGTCACGGGACGACGACTCAGCCTGTGCTTTTTAACCGCAACAAGGCCTCCAAGCGGAGTCATAGTCCAGACATATACAAATCATGGGGGCTACAGATGACGACCCCTCGTATGCTTTCCCAGCGTGGACGCTCTTGTACGTGGTCGTGATGGCCTTGTCCCTTGCGGCGTCGTTCACGGCAGCGCTGGCCCTGCACAAGTACTCGAAACTCGTGTCGTCGTGCATCTGCTACGCCATGTTGCACTTTTTCACGTGGAAGTCCATCTACTCGCTGTTCCGGATCACGGTGCTGGCGGTGCTCATGGAACAGTTCAACCACAAGTCATCAACTTGGTTCATTCTCGACCGAGACCACGACATTGGCGGGTTTCGCTTGGTCGGACACGAAAACGCAGACCACCTTGGGGACGTGGGGCCCCCTCCGTTTTACGTAAAAATGGCCCTATTCATCGGGGACATTTCGTTGTTGTCGGGGTCGTTTTGGATGTTTGTGCTCGTGGCGGAACTGCTGCGCTTGGTGGTACGATATATATCTGGTGCCAAGTGCATTTTTTACAATGTTGTATGTGCAGAAAACTACGGTGGACCGCGGCGTGCACGCAGAAAGAAAAATCGCCCGCGCTTACATGGTCCTCAATCTCATCCTCATGCTCGCCTACTTTGCTGTGCGTATAGTGCTAACTCAACCCCCTCCCTCCGCGACCAAATGAGTACATGGCGTATACTGAAATCTACCCCTCATAGGGCGTGACTTCCTCGACGCTGCCATCCACGCACTCGTTTTACTCGAACCGGTTCCGATTGTTTCTTGTGACGTCGACGGCATCTCAGTGCGCTGTCGTCCTCTTTGTGTCCGGCGCGTAAGGGCAAACTTCGTCTATGGAGACCCTAACCCGTGTCAGGGTAGGGTACTGTACCTGAACTGCACGGGTCAAAAACTCGAATGCGTGCATTGCAGCATCGTTCAGAAACCACTCTACTGTCGCCTCAAGCAAATCTTGTACGTTATCTTTCGGAGTAGTGCACTCATTCAACCCATAAATACTGGTAGATTGGTGTACGACATTACGGCGCTGCAGTACTTTGCCGTGGGGTGGATCATGACGGTCAAGCCAGCCACCCCCCACGGCAACTTTGATTACCTTCCTCGCGGTCTCGTGATTGTGAGCAACCTTCTCTACTTTGCATCGCCCATTGCGCTGGCGTTTCTGCTGGTGGCCAACCAGCAGTGCATGATGTCGTGGTGTATGGTCCCTGAGGACGTGATCCAGCAATTCCAAGCGAACGAACCCCCGACGGACTTTCCCGTGTTTGTCAACACGGACATTGAATCGTCCAGCGCTCTTTGGGGAGCTTTAGGTAGTGTCATGCACGACGCCCAAGACATCCACGACAACCTCCTGCGCACGCTCTTGGTACCCCATCACGGGTACGAGATCACAACTGCCGGGGATTCGTTTCAGCTGGCGTTTCACAACATTGCCGACGCTGTCGCATATTGCTTGGACGTCCAGCAGAAGCTGTTGCAGCAAGAGTGGCCCCGGGCGTTTGTGGACTGCCACATGCCTGGCAGTGCGACCATCACAACGCATCAATCCTTGTTGAAGCGACCAAAGATGGTGTTCCACGGCGTGCGGGTGCGCATGGGAATTCACGCGTCGAACCCCGCCGAAGGTGACTTGGTCAACCAAGTGCACCCTGTCACAGGTCGCATGATGTACGTGGGACTGTCGGAATTGATTGGTCGGGAAGTGAGCGATATTGGCTGCGGCGGGCAAATCATCATCACGGCCCCCATCGTTCGGTGGCTGCGCATCAACTTGGCGCAAAGAACTGAGTGGGCGAAAGCTCATTCGTGTCTCTATTACGACATGGGTTCGATATCCACGTGCAGTTGTGGTTTCATTCACCCACTCAACTTATCTATAGGTGTCCACCGCATTCAAGACTTGAAAATTGACTTGGGGATAGCCCAGGTCGTGCCACTGAGCCTCCACGAGCGGGTAGGGATGTTCCCCCCGCGAAGCAGCACCGTCAGATTTGACTCGCCCCGCTGCCCCGAGACCAGCCACTACTCGCTCTTGATTTCGCCCCATCAACCCCAGTACCCTTCGTACCCCCCAAGTGCGTTCTTTCGTAGTCCCTGTGATCAAGGCAACATTTCATTGATGGCTTGACTGTAATATTGTGAATTTAATACTATTAATAGTATATATTTAACTCGACGTGAAACCAATTCAACAGGACACGAGCGTGTGTGTGTGTGTTATGGGGGCTTGGAAGTGTGCATACCAAACCAACAACCGATTTACGTGTGCCCTTACTACTCCGGAGTACTGTATTTGGAAATAATAGTCGTAACGGTAGGGATTACAGTACTTCACGTTACTTTAATCTCTGCACAACGAACGATACGTATGAGCTTGGCATGTCGTCGTTCTTGTTACTGGTTGGCGACATTGGGAGTTCCGCCCACGTACGATGCGACAGCGGCGGCAATTTGCTGGCGCGCCCACACCAAATGCCCGGAGTCCTTGGTCGCATTCCGTGCGCGCATGTCTGCGCAGTGCGCCGTGCCCTCGATGAAGATCGCATGGGAGGACGACGTGGCGAGGTGGGTTGAGTTCTGGACGGCCAGCGCATGCCACGGATCGATAGTGCCGCTAGGGAACACGACGTTGTCCACGGCAATGTCAAGTGCACCGTAGAACGTGTTGGTTCTGGCAATATCTGGGCTCGCGTTGATACCAAACACTCGCTTGCACACTTCAAGCCCGACGTTCTGAAGGGTCTGCGACTTGAGCGCAAAGAACGGCGACTTGGCACTGGTGGTCGTCTGAAAGTACCCGAATTCGTTGCACGTTTGGAAAAACCACTGGCGCGAGCTGCTGTGTCCGTTAAACGTGATGTCTCGCAGCACTTCGACCGTGCCGTTGGCCGTGCCTTGAAAACTCGAGTCCAAGCACGCCTTTTTACTTTGAGTGGTCACAAACGTGTGCAGTTGTGTGAGGGGGTCTGCCGTCTTGTTGGCGAAGATGCGGCACACGTCCGACAAGGTTTGGCCACTGGTTTCCTCGTTGTATTGCGCCACATCCTGAAACAACGTCATCACCGACGACTCAAACACCGAGTCGTCGAAGTCGTTGCGCCGAGGTGTGCACGGCTTAAATAGGCGGTCTAGCTTGGCCTTGGACGCCTCGGATGTGTCCGCTAGCAGCGCGTGGAAGCTGCCGATGGCCTTCTCCACCGATCGGTAGCAGTCGCCGCCGCCAAAGTACCGCAGCCCCGCGCCCACAACCTCCATGTACTCTTGAAAGTTTTCCTTGGCCAAGAGAGGGGCCGAGCTCGCGACGCTGCCGCGAACCAAGTGCGGGAACTTGAGCTTGAACCAAGCAGCGAGCGCGCCGGGGTAGCTCCCTCCAAACGCTACCCACGGACTGCGGTGCAGGCCGTATACACCAGTCAGGTACGAATGGATGCGCGCTAGGTCAAACAATGCCTACATGTGTAACTCTATAAGCAACGACCGGAGCAACGCGGCAATAGTTGAACGTACTTGCTGGCTCGAGAGGTACTGAAGGTTGTCCGTGCTCATGTTAGGCGTGGGGTACGACGTGCCGTAGAAACGATGCTCTACCCCCACGAGAAGCGCGCGGTGGTGCTGAGCAAGTTCGTGGATAAAGTTATTTTTCGACAATGCACTCGCCGTGAGCGGCCCTTCGCCGCCAATGTACAGGAACACTGGGAATCCTTCGCCCGCCCAGAACTCGTCGTTGACAAAGTACCGCTGGTTCCAGAACTTGGTTGCCGACACGGGGGCGTAGTGGTCGACCACAGCTTGCGTGTAGTTGTGCTCGGTGACGGACGACGCCACGCCTTCGCCTGCCGGCACTTCGGGATGGTACTGGATGTGGTGCTGCATGCCGCGGAAATCATCGAGGCGGTGGCGCTGGCTCACTTGGCGACCGGACACGGACGACGCAAGTACCGCGAGCACGAGAAACCCTGTCCACAGCATGATAGTGCAAACACTACCTGCGGTCAAAATAGAAAGTGAACTAGTCAATGACAACCGACCCAGTTGAACTTACCTGCTGGTCAAACGTTCAAGTGACTGGATTTGTTGCCTCTTGGGTATTTCTTGTTCATACCTGGATTGGAAGGTTTTTTACTACTGAAGTAAAAACTAAAAATGAAATATATTGTCTGATTATTGATCTTTTACGAGCAGCACAAAACCTGTGTCACGCGACTGGATCTGAGTTGAAGACATTAAATTTCAGATTATGCCCAATCAATTGGCAGGAAACTCAGGGGTATCTTTTGGGGACATTCCAAGATCGGGTCAAAAGACGTGGTAGCGCAATGGACGTGCGAAGACAAATGACGTCGTCGCTCCAGATCAAGGAGATCATCGTGGACATGGATGGCCAGCGGTGCGTTGCGGGAGAGCTTGTCGTGTACCATCCAGTACGTCCAGCGGTGGACCGTGGAATCCATCGTGTGATGGGAATCGATGTAGGTTCGTGACAGCATTGTGTCTGTCACGTCAATCTCCCTTCAAGAAATCGATGCGCGCACGGGCGTACTCATGGGTGAAATTGCATTTGACGGGTCGTTGCTTGGTGACTCCAAACCCAATGCATTCGAGTGCGTCGTCGCGTGCGGGCACAAGTACATTGTTGCCGCGTTGTCCAGGTCCTTTCTTGATCGCTGGGCGATATGTGGCTCATACAACGATGTGTGTCCCCTTAGGTATCTTGTCATTTGGGACCTGCGAGACATGGTCCTCGCGCACGTCGCGGAAGTGGCGGTCGCAGGCACCATGTCTCAGAAAACCAAGCATCTTTCCGCGCTCACGGCATCCACGGACATGGAGGCCACGCTCTTCTTCGCGCACGAAGGAAGCCAAAGCATTAAAGTCGTTTCTGTCGACGCATTACTGAATGGATCCTCCACTGGCATGCGCAAACTGCCCCGAAAGGCCGCCACGCGAAATTCCACCATCACCGTCTTGGCCTACCACACCGCACATGCCTTGCTCGGGTGTGGGGCGTCGGACGGTGCGTCGTCGTAGTATTACTAGCTAGCTACTAGCCTCCTCGACCATCACAATCCTCGACAGAATGAATCCATCGTAGTATTACTAGCTACATACTATTTCCAACTTCACAATCCTCGACAGCATGAATCAATCTGGTGTTCAAATCCTAAGCCGTGAATCGTTGTGTAGGCACAGTGCAGCTGTGGAGATGTTCGGACGCCAGCAGTAGCGACGGTGCCACCGGCGCGACGGCAGCTGACCCGTCGACGTCGGGCGAAGCGGTACCTCCCTCGTCCTCTGTCTAGTCAAGATATGACCATCCCTGACAAGTGACCAGGAACTTGTGCATGACCTCGTGGTGACATTCAATGCCAAGCAGGTGCCGCCGGCGTCCTCGGTGTCGGCTGTCCACTTGCACTCGACGGCACCCGACGACCTTCACGTCGCCGTCTCCTACACTTCCAAGCACGTCGACGTCTATCACCTCCACGGCCGTCCGCTACGTCCTTCGTCATCGACTGATCCGTACGTCTGTTTTTCCCTCTCTAAGAGCGCGTCATACACTTGTATGAGATTATTTGCTAGCATCGGCAGCATCGCGTTGCCCCACGGGTTAACATTTGCCAAGAGGCAGTCGGTTTGGTTTGGCCCAGCTCGGGATACCCTTGTGGTCGTGCTAGATGATTTAAGCACCTCGCGCACGTCGGTGCTCCACCTCGTTCACTTTGGAGATGGCATCGGTCGCTTTGGGACGCCGCTGGAGCTGCCTCTACTCGGCCCATCCGACCCCACGGCGTTTGTGGCCGTGTGTGGCTCGGCGGCATTGTACACGTCCACAACCGCCGCGCGGTCGCTGGCGTGCCTAGGGTTTGCAGACGACGAGCCCGTGGACGTTGTGACGCTGCCGGCGTATCATCACCAGTGGAGCATAAGATTACCTCTTTCGTTTGGCCAGTATTGCCACCCCGAGACCCTCCCCGACCGACTTGTCCAGCTGTCGTGGGTATGGAACCATCCATCCTCGACTCATACTTTGACTAGTACTAGTACTAGTAGTACTTACTACTCGTTGTTGTTTCCATCTCGTACCAACTAGTAGTACTATTCACCAACCGATGATACGATAGACTCCCGACTTGAATCGGTTCGAGGTGGCCGTGGTATCTCTCAAAACGAATGAGCGGCTGCCGTCGTCGTTTGGAGCTGTGCCGTCCACCCTGGACAACCACCCTGTGACACCGTTGCGGGTGCTGGCATCGCCGGATTTGTCCGTCGTGGGGGTCCTCCTCCAGTCAACGTCGGGGTCCGTCGCGGTGCTTGTCACATCTGCCGACTCGTCCGTCGTGTATGACGTGGCAGACGCGTGCTTTGCGCCCTCCGGTCACCTCGTTACGCTTGTGCCATCCCGAAGGAGCGTCCGGTGGCACCAAGATGTGCACGCCGCCGAACCCCACGGCGCGTCCTTCCCCCTTCCCGTCGCCGCCGATCGCATCTTTGCCACCCGCCTGCCCATGCCCGACGCTCCGTACGATCTTAATGGAGTCGGACATGTCATTATGACGGGGGATATTTATTGGTTTGCCTATATAGGGACATGTACAAAGTGCTGTTTGTAATTCACGACACAACCCACGATACACTGCGATTGAGGTTTGACAGTGTTTGTTATTGTATCGAGGATAATATATATAATTGGTATATTTCCCTGGGAATAGTGACCACACGCTGGCGTTTGCAGCCGACTCGGCCATGACGTGGAACGCCCACAAGAACGAACGGGTGCTCGACGTGCAGATGGAACCGTCGACAACGCAAGGCCAGCCGCACAATGTACAGAGTGTTTGATGTATTATGTTTGAGTTCTCCATATATATATATATATATATATTCTTGAGATATATAGTATTTGATTTTTTCATTCTCCATATATTATATTTACATACATATATATATAGTACCGAAGGATTTGATTTTCTCATTCTCCCCATGTATTATATATATATATATATAGCATTTGACTCCAACGTTTGAGACGCCACTATATATTGTACATATGTACAGTAGCATAAAATTTGATTCGATCGTTCGAGACCTCTATATATATATATATATATACCTGTATATGTAGTATTCGATGTACTATCATCGTATGAGACGACGTCAGACACGATCGACCGACCTATTCGCAATGTGATGACTAGATGGCGGTGCTCACAACGCATCGCATTGTGATTTTGGACCCGTCGATGGTGTCGGTGGCCTGTTTCACCCCGTCGAATCCGTTGGCCATGACGCCAGTGTCCATGTTGTGGATTGGGTCGGCCATTGCATTTGCCACGGGAGGCGGGGCGTTGTACTATTTGCCGACGCAGAAAGATGGAGCAACTTCGCCCACGTTGCTGTGCGCGTTGGCCAAGCCAGGTCTAGACTTTTCGTCGATCCAGCTACTCGCGTGTATGCCTGATCGGGTCGTGTACTCGGTGAGGCCGGTCGATGGTGTCGTGACGGTGCGTTCATATCCATTCCGATGGATATATATATATATATATATATATATATTGGTTGTCTGACCAGGGAATGTATAGACACTGACGCGGCCGTTCTCGGTGCTCGAAGTGTTTGCGTTGAGCCAGGATGACTTGGATTTAACTAGGCAATTTGTGCATCGAGAAGTGGACAGTGCGCCGATTGTGCCCGTGAGCCATCGGCTGATTGCCGATTTGGCCAGTCGTGACCCAGAGCTGTGCCTCGTGGCGCTCTCTCCGCCTGCCACGTCATCCACGACCGGAAGCAGCAGCTCCTTTCGATCGACGTCGCACGTCGCCACGTCTGTCGTGTGCGGGCTGCTGCTCGCCGTGCACCGGTGGAAAGACGCGTTCTTGCATGCTTTGGTTGACGATCCCGGGCTCCAAGTACCATTGTGATATATATATATATATTTATCATATATATGTGTATATTATATATATATATATTTCCCTCGACAATGAAAGAGTTTATCGTGATAGATGCTTGTAGGAATATGCAAGGGACCCGGTGGGGGCGAGTGGGGCGCAGTTGCCCCAGCGGTCGAGTGGCACTTCGAGCCATCTCTGTCATTTGGGTCGAGTTCTGGAACGGTTTGGGCAGTTTGGAACGGCCGGCCAATGCTATGACGTGGCAGGCCACGACCATGCGTTGATTCAACTAGTAAGCGTTCACAAACATCCTGCGATGCCGAGTAGTTGTTTAATATGTGACACCGTGTGGTGTAGGTGTTGAAGAGTGGCGCCGCCGACGCCCTGGACGTTCTCGTGCACGCGTTTCGATCATCCAACAGCGCGCTGGTCGTGGCGGCTTTGACTGCGCGAGTCGCCGACAACCCGCCGAAGTCGGACCCGTTCCGCCTCCTCTGCACCGAACACGTGCCCGTAGAAGACCGGCGCAGTCGCCTGCTGCCGGCAGCCACGTCCATTTTGCGCGATGCGAAGCTCCATTGTAATCCAGGTCCTGCCGTGGAATGTATGTGGAAGTACTTTACGTGGCGTCGGCTCTTGCCCGAAGACGCCAGCGACTGGATCGGCAGCCCCCACGTGCATTACGCCGCCGAAGATTTCAAGCTGCCGCCGCGCTGCCGGCATGTGGCGGCGGGGAAACTGAGTGTGGACACACACATCGACGACAGCAGCGGGGTAGCCGCTCCGAGCTCGACAGCATCGATCGGTCCGTTCCTGGACGAAGAAGATGGCGTCGTCGCGTACTGGCGGTTTGAAGACGGCGCCAACAACGCCAGTGTCGCAGATGGCATCCAGTTTGTCGACACATCCAAGCGAGAAAACCATCTCACAGTACAACATCTTGATCTGGTCCTATCCACGGCGCCCGTGGATCGAGGCGAAGAGGCCAAGTTGCCGCCGGTACTTTGCAATATGCTCGGCATGATACCTTGTCTATAGGGTCGTCATGTGGTCGTTGGTTGTAGGAGTATGCCCTTCGGTTTCTGTCCCCCAACACGATGCACGGGTGCGGTACGGTCGAGGTCAAGAAGGGGTCGAGTTCCCTCGACGTTGGAGTCGCGTATGACGAAGATCCGTACAGACGATGTCTCACGGTGGAAATGTGGGTGAAACCTGCTGCCGACTGGGGGGGGTGTACGGGCACGCTCATGCGGCGGGAGACGCCGGCGGTCGTGCTGTGGGAGTTTGGGCTCGACGGCGGGGCCTTAGTGTTTACCCTGCTGGGTCAAACGGTCAAGAGCTCGCCGGTCCCATTCTCAGCCGAGGACACGTGGCAGCATGTGGCGGCAGTGGTCGACATTACAAGCGAAGTCAGAGCCTCGGTTCGATTGGCAGTCGGTGGGGCCCTCGTCGTGACAAAAGAGGTGACGATTACTAGTAGTACTAGTACTGGGGACATCATGTCGACGGTGGTCGTGGGGCCGCAGTTGACTGGCATGGACATGACCGAGATCCGTATCTGGGCGACGCCGCGGTCCGCGCAGCAGCTCCGCGACATGAAGGACACGTACTTGACCATGGCCGAGTCCAAGAAGCGCATCAAGATGAAGATCCACGACGTACGTACTATTCATAGTAGAGATGGGTGATTTTGTGGTGGTGGTGTGTTGTGATGGACATTTCACACGTGTGATGTATATATATATATATATAGCGCGACTGCCAGTGCGCGAAATGCCTCGGGCGTCGCCAGAATACACCGATTGCCAAGCTCGCGATGGTGCAGCCGCTGGCGTCTCTCACTCCCACCAGTCGCGACCGCCGCCAGCGCATGAAGACGCCTAAGAGCGAAGAAACGCGAACGTAATGGACATGATGTTGGATGATGATGCGTGTCCTTGGACGAGATCCAACGTCCTATCGAGGCTATAAAAGATTAATTGACAATTAACGCCGAGTTTGCAATTATAATAGTTATTTTATTGATTGCCATGGTTGCCAGATCCAATTAGATACTACTATTATAATACTTCCGAAGCACTAGTATCGTATTTGTCGTTTTTTGATCTGCACCATGAAATACAAAACTGGAATATAATTCTATAATTCAATACAATCTTGAATCAATTATCCAATTCGAATATTTAAATAAATTCTTCAAATTTAATTCCATGGTGCAAAGGTACGACAAACACGGTAGTAGTATTTAATCGATTGACGTACTACCGCCAACAATACTTATCTTATGTTTTGTATACTAGGGTAGTACATGTGGAATTATAATATCAATAATTGACAATTATATTGCGACGAGATTTACTGTAAACAATTCCTAGGAATTGTCTGTAAAAATAGTTTTTTGCCATTGCCGGGCATATAATCCCAATGGACTTTTGAGTCTTGTGAAGGAATAGATCACGGTTCAGGTTCTCATGCCGTACTTTCGCCTGAGATGTGGTTACTCTAGAGGGATTTCAGGGTTGAGCTGGTCCAACGCGACCGACTCGTAGTTGGCGTACGTGCCGTACTGGTATACTAAATGGGGGATGCTGGGCTGATACCGCCGGAGGGTACAGCTCAATAGGCGATCGAGAAACACGTGGTTTTCCGCTGCATGCGTCAAGATTAGAAAGGACGTCCATGGAGGAGAGGAATAATGGATGTAGATAGTACCAATGGTGGTCAAGAGGAGCTTTCCTTGAGGTACCAAGAGATGCCGCGCCGATTCAGCATACTTGGTCCACACTTGCTCAGTGATGAACGGCGGGTCGATCACTACAAAGTCGAACGCGTGCTCAAATTCCGTCGCCGCGTGCCCGGGGAACGACGTGGGGTCGTTGAAATCGTACGGCACCACACGCGGCAACGCGGCGTCCAAGTCAAAGAGGACAAACGTGGGCGTTGAAGTGGCCGCGAATGTCGCGTCCTTTTGCAATTCTTCGCACGCGTAGTACAGCGACGGCGTGGAGAGAAACGCGACGCACTTGGGGTTGCTTCGTAGGATCTCTTTCGCCAGGTACTAGTCAGTATGAACAGCCCAATGAAGTCGATGGGAGGCGTGGACATGCAGCCATGGATGCACATACCTCGATAGTCGCGGAAGAGTACCAGTACTGGTTGAACTCTTCCTTCTCCTTGTATGTCGCCGCAAATTGCATCCCACCGCAGCTTTTCGCAATTCGCAATGATCTGGATAAATGAATTCATTTAAAAGAATGGCCAGCCAGTCGGATTACTTCGATTTAATATTGTGAATTAATTCGCTATAAACTTTTAAAATTCGCGTGGTTTGTTTACAGTTGATCAATATATTGAATCATGCTGGAGTTCTGATTGGTTGAATATACTTGTCCTCTGTAAGAGCCAATCAAATCCACTCGAAATTGGATTAGCCAATAGCGTCGATGATTCGTGATTCGATTAGCCAGGCGAGATTCGACGGGATCTGGACATTTGTACCGAATCCACCACAATATTTATACTAACTTACTGTGAATTACTGGAGACATTTCTATTAATAAATAGAATAAAATTCTTGAATCAAAGTCCTACGTCACATATAAAAGCACACACAAAATCAGGTTTTGGGTGGTGCAAATGAACACAATATTATTCACGAGGTCGTTGGAATCACGAACTTATCCACCTTTCCTTGTTGACATCAAAGCGCATGTTAACACAATACTAGTAGTTAATGGATGATTTCTTTGGTTGATAACGTTATACTAGTATGTCACTACAACCTACACACGGTCGATTTCTTGCGCAAGTTGGCCATACTTGACAATGCAGTCGGGCGTGGGAAAGTAGTGCACGGCGTAGCGCTGGCGGTCGACGTGTAAGAGTGACAAGTCGTCGCTGGGGACGTAAATCTGCGGCGCCGCGGGGCGGTGGATGGCAAACAAGTCGACCTTTTCGGCTTTTAACAGCACGATGCGGGCGTACAGAACCTCTTCCTGCACCAGATCCGCCAGTAGGAGGCGCACCTGCTGCAGCGGCAGCACCCCCTCGACCCCTGCCAGCACGGCGGCCTCGGTGCATCCAGGGAACTTGATCAGAAGCGCCACCATCTTGCGCTGAAACCGGACGAGCCACGGGCCATTGGGTTGCGCCGTGAGCTTGAGCCACGGATGCGCCGACGTGGCTAAGCTCGTGTCCAATTGAATCGTGCCGCGTGTAGTGGTAGTGTACGGATACACGGTCCAGATCTGGGAAAACTGGGGCAGCACGTACAGCAGCGATGTCCACCCGTGCACTTCCACGAGCTTGTCTTCATCCACATACACCAAAACGCTGGCTTCGACCGCGGTCCGAGTCGTCCCTAGCGCCGCCACCAGCGCTTCCACCGACAAACCGGCTTCTTGTACGGGGAGCAGTGCCCGTTCAAATTGGACAAATGGCACCAGCCTTGGGCGTTGTTTTTTCTGCGCTGTTTTGAAGCGTTTCGACGGCGGTTGCTCAGGTGATGGCCACAGTTGGTGAGAAAATACACAGTCCGGCACGCGGGGGGGGGGGGCGTCGGCGGACAAGATGAACGTGGCGTGCCACTGGTCGCGCTCTGATTGGTCCAAGTGGTTGAGCAGGCCACAGCCACTCGACGTGAGGCGGTGGTCGCGGCGACGCTTCATCGACGGAGGTTTCTGGGGCACTTCCGGCAGCGGTGTATGGCGGACCTGGTAGTGTCCGTGGCCGAGTACGAGCGCCGCGTGCTCGACGGCGCCGCAGCATTGGATCGATTCATCGGCCGCTGCGAGGAAGCTCGTTTGCTCGGCAGCCTCGACGAACAGGGCCAGCGGGTACGACGCCGTGCACGTTGCCTTGAAAATCTCATGGAACCGCCTCGTGAGGACGAAGCCGCGGCCGTGGAACGGTTTGGCAACGACGATCCACCCCTTGAGCCAAAAGTACCGCCACACAAGCGTGATTTCGTAGCGCGACCATGCACCGACCAGATGTTCCGCGGCCATCTGGTTGTACGACCCGTCCGACGTGAATAAGATCATAAATACCCGCGTGACCAGCGCGCCGAGCCGCGGACTGGCATGGATCTGCGCCTCCTCGTCAAACGTTATCGAGCCAAAGAACGACGCTTTGAGCGCCAAGAGACGCAACTTGTTGGGTACTTTAGCCAGCAGTTCGTCGATGCGCCGCCGCACGCGGTTAACGCTGCGATGGGGCGTCGCCGTTCGGGTAATCACGACTGTGCTGACTTGAGCTCGAGTCACGTGGGGTCCGCGGATGGCTACGGGTTCGTCGGGCACTTGCATCTCCACGGGCACACTCACCTTCCAGATGGCCTGCAGCTGGGCTAGGTACAGGTTGAAGATAGCAGTGTCTTCTTCGTCTGTGAATGTCAAGTCGAGGCGGACCCCGCGGGGGACAAACTTGTACTTTTTGCGGCGCACGGGCCCGCCGCCGCCGCCGCCGACGGGCTGCTGATTCGTCGTCTGCTTCTTCCTTGTCCGCCGTACCACCACCACCTTGCTGGAGCCAGGGATCCGGGGCAGCGGTGCCTTCTTGTCTCGACGGCTGTACCGGACGCCGTGGGTGTTGGGCGTCCAGTTCTTGGCCGCGACCATGTTGATGTGATCGGTCGAAATGAGCGGCGGCAGCTTCATCACACGCCCCGGACTCGGGTTGAACGACAGCTGCTCCGTCGCGCAGCACTCTAGCGCTTCCCAGAACACATCCACGTCTGTGTGTGTTTCAAAAGAGTGGACCAGGGGTACGTTGTGGCCAAACGAGTACGGAAACTTGGTCGAATTTACTCGCACAGAGGACCACGAGTTCCACCCGACGACATCGTCGTGCTGCACGTTAAAGTAGATGCGAGCATGGCGGTGCCATATGAAGAACCCGCCAATCACGCGGTCGTACAACGTGTACTGCACCAATCGATGGAGGTCCAAGTCCCCGTTCGCGTCCGTGCCCTGCAAGATCGCCATGAGCGTGTCGTGGCCGAGGCGGTGGGGCTTGATGACTTTGAGGTCGATGAGGGCTCGGAGTAACTTTGTGAGGCGGCGGCTTTGGTGTCTGGTCGTCTTGTCCTTCAACGTGGGCGGCAAGTCGGCAACGATCGTGTTGGCTTTGATGGCGGCTTGGAGCTGGACCAGCTCGTCCGGCGCAAACAGCTGGCCGATGCCCAAGATACGCACGTACACCGCGACGCTCATCGACTGAAAAATCGGGTCAAGCAAAAACAGTCGGTCCGGCATGTGCGCCGCCGCCACGTCCGCCAACAGCGGGTTGTCCTCGGCTGTCTGGAGGTACCCAAACACGTGGGTGTGGAAGAGGCGGCATCGGTAGAGAAAGCCATGGCACTTGCCGAGCACATGGCTCTGGCTTTCGCGGTCGCGATCCGCTTGGTTCTTGGCCGTGAGCACGTCCTTGAGCTTGTACGCGATGGACGTGGACGACGGCGGGTCGTTGGGCTGGATGGTCACATTTGGGTTTGTAAAAGCCTTGCTGTTGAGCGTTTGGATGCGCGAATCCCGCGCGTACGCGTTCAGAAACCGCTTCAAGTCGGCGTCTGTGGCATCCTTGGCCAACACGACCCGGCTCAGCTTTGTGCCGGATGCAGTCAGACTCGACTTGATTGGCATGTCGCACTGGAGTAGTGTCATGCTGTCGGGGGAGCTCTCGACGATCCGGATGATCGACCGGACGTCCACGCGGTGTCCGCTATTGAACGACAGCAACCCCTTGCCGTCGTGGGCGTAGTTTTCCAGCTCAATGATAGACGACCGGAGCGAGTACAGCGATACGACCTTTTCAATGCACAGACGCTCGAGAATGTGCTGGCGGCGCAGCGCCGTCGTATCTGTAATGGATGGAAGGGCGGGGACCGGCACGATAGGATCGGCGTCCGCAGCTACCTTGGAGTACCGCAGTGTATGCGGATGCACTCGTTTCTTCTTGTTTGGAGGAGGGGGGGGTGGCGGTGTCGTCGACTCGGAAAGTGCCCGTTTACGAGGATCAGCATGGTGTTCTGGGGGCTCGACAACAGCGGCTGCCGCCGCCGCCGCCATAGGGGGGGCCATCTGTGGACATGGGGGCGAAGCAGCAATGAGCCGATACACGGAATTCCGGCCAATCACTGTCTTCTCCATGCGGACGTGGTAGCTCGTCGTGAGCAGCGTCAAGAGGCGGTACGTCCACTTCCCATACATGCCAAACTTGTGCTTGAGGTCGGGGGATGTGATGCCCAGAGGTCCCGCGGCTACCACCGCGTCGTATACTTGCTGGACCAGGCCCATTTCGTGCACAATCCTCGACGCTTGGGGCTCTTCTGACGTGGCGATGCCGCCGACGTTGCGGAGTCGTAAGCACCAGAACCGCTGCTTGGTGTCGGCGCGGTTAGCGGTGAAGATCTCCATGGGGAACGACGACCCGGGCTTCTTGGACTCGACGATGATGTGGTTCTTCATGGCTTCGAGCCGCCGCTTCTCGATGCTCACGGCGCGCATGCCGTCGTTGAACGTGCACTGGCCGTTCTCTTGTTGCTTGAGGTACGACACGAGGTAGTCGACGGCGTGGACCTTCCACGCGGGGCCGTCTTCAAACACAGACTGCGGCAGCGAAGTCTCGAGGTCAAAGGACGAGTCGAAGCGCGGGAGAAGCACGATGTTGAAGCGCTTGCACTTGAAGTTCTCGGTGATCTGCACCATCTTCTTGACCAGCAGCTTTTGGCTGATCAACCGGTCCATGTAATGGTGCACCGTGCGCAGTTCCGCGTCGAATTTCTTGCTCTCAACTTCGCGGGGCAGCAGGTTTTCGCGGATGCGTGAGCTAATGTCCATCGTGGACAAACCCTTGGCGCGGCTCTTGCCCACGGTCTCCAAAATGAGGAATCCCGTCGAACCCTCGTCCATTACGAGTTGCGCGGTGAGATGCAAGGCCCGGAAGCGAAGTGCTTCACACGCAATGACCCACACATCGGATGCCACGGCCTCGTCAAACGAAAGATCCCTGGCGATGGTGTCGGACGGTGACGACGACACAAACAACCGAATCGGTGACTCCTCGTCCGACCGGGATGACTCCTGGGCACGGAGGAACAAGCGCCAACATGCATCGCGGAACACCACGTCGCCCTCTGCTCCTACGAGGTACGTCTCAAAGAGGTCTTTGACTGAGGTCCCCACGCGGCCTTCCAGTGCCGCATTCTCCAGCAGGGCGGCAACCGCTCGCTTGGCACTCAGCATTGCAACAACACCAACGGTGTCAACCCTGTGGAATATGGTACTTATCATCCGGATAATTTCGTTCCAACCGGCACAGCAACGAATACAATATGGGAATTGCCGGGATCGAACTCGGGACCAATTGACATGACTGGTACGACTAACATTACGTGACCAACAGGAACCCCTTCGGGGGTCATCCGTAAAAATTGGAACGATACAGAGAAGATTAGCATGGCCCCTGCGCAAGGATGACACGCATAAATCGAGAAGTATCGCACTTTTTTTCGTAGGTTTCCATCGTATCACGGCAAGATTTTGCCACTTTCGCTTGCACGCTCCCAGTCTCGAGCAAACACAACGCTCTGGTTGGCGTTGAACAGTTGAGCGACTTTGGCCCACCCATGTTGACAGAGAGGGAGAAGTGATTGGACACAGTCGAGCATGATATCGACGACGTCGTCGTCGCCCCAGTTGGGTGCTGAGCGCTTAGTTGCCGTCTTGGCACCGACCTTTGACGCCATCAGTCTGGGCATCAGTGATTTCTGCAATTCTTGAAATCTACGAAGACCAAAATTTGGTCTTGACACATCTGAGGGTTCCTCAGATTGGCTCAAATCGCTGGTCTGAGTAAATTTTAGATTCAAAATCTGAGGTATTTTTGGTAGTCCTCCAGTGGCTTCACCCTGTGTTGTGATGGCTTTGGAAAAGCTCAACGTGTCGTCCACGCCAGTTTGGACACCATCACACACATCAACAAGACCTTTTTTCTTACTAGTAGTATAATGTTACTTTGAATTCTTGATGCATGACTTCGAAGGGTAGACAGTGTGCAGGTTCGTCGTTGTGCATTTTGTTTTTAGTTCGAAACTAGTCGGGGCATGGTACCGTCGAGCGGTACACCACCAGCGCCCGTGTGAAAAACACGAGGCCAAAGCCCAGGGAGAAGGTGGGAGCCACGGGCTCGATCGGCGCGGACGTGGCAAACTTGCCCATGATGCGAAACTGCACCGGCCCAAAATCCTCGGGCTGTTTCAATGTGGACGTGAACAACCCAATGAACGCCAAGTCGTCGATGGCGTTGAACAGTGGAGTGTTGCAGCACGAGGCAAACACTCGAAGCAACGCCGTCTTGTCCGAGAGCTTTGCGATCGTGATGTTGGCTTTGCCCTTGGTGACGGTCACGTCCGCTGGAAACACCTGCACGATGTCCGTGCCTCCGTGCGTGTCCACTGGAGATTTGCTCGTGGATTGACACGTCAAAGTGGCAAACTTCTGGCAGTCGTCGCAGTAGCACACGATATGGAGCGCCGCGGGAGCGTTCACGTGACCTTGTACTTGCTGACAGGCGCAGGCAAAGCCAGAGTCCAACCGGACGGTGGACACACGTCCTAGCTGCCACCCGACCCACGACACGAGCCCCGCGGCCGCCGTCAGCGCGATTTCAGTCTTCATGCAAAGGCAATTTGAAAAATAGTGATGTCTGGGGTCGACAGTCAAGGCGCCAAGTGCATGTTGGAACACGAGCGACGAATTGGCGCGAAACAATAAGTTACTATACTGTAGCAAGCCAATCAACGGGTCAAGGCACAAAGTGATAGTAGTCCGTTTGACCAATCACATTCATAACTGCATTATAAACCCATGTGGCAAGGTTACAGAAGTTGACGTTAAGCTTACAGTGGTTTCCAAAAATGTTGCTGACAGCAGCACAGCCACGTATTCCAAACATGATATTAATAACATACTAGTTGTGTATAAGTAGTACACCTTTTTCCGGTTAATTTCAGGACCTCACCATACTTTTTCGCGAAATAAACAAACAATTCGTGGCGGTTCCACTTCGTTCGTTGTATATTCGTTATATTTCGCCTGCAACCAAGAAGGTTGCAGTATATTTCAAGTGACGTTCCTTATATTTCACTGTGTATGCGCTCAATTCAGCGAGTAGCTCAATATATTTCGGGGTGCAATCGATATATTTCAATAAAAAATAGAAAGGAATCGCTTCAACCGAAGATCTCGCGGGCTTTCAAAACGACGGTCGATGGAACAAGCGCTTGCCACACCAGTACGTTCCAATACATACCCTATGTACCTAGTTGATGTGTCCTAGCCACGCCGCCGACCCCATCGAGAATCTTTGGTCCACAATGAAGAGCCACAGCAAGACGTTGCTGCGCGAGCGCCTTGCTGCGTGTATGGGACCTCGTCCTGATGGACAAACTCGTGACGAGTTTCGTA